GGCCAAATCTAAACATTAACTTGTAGTGATTGTCTTGGACCATTTCAGGGGAGCTTTTATAGGGTGGCATGATGCTGATCACATGGTCATATTTGTGGGTTTTCGAGTTGCAGGGCTGTCCACTTTCTGTTATGCGCTTCAAAAGCTCTGTGAGTTGATCAACTTGTCATGATGGAACATGGTATTGCTCGGACATTACATGGGGGAGGAAACTTATGTTAAGGCGCAGTAAACAAGGTTAATGACCAGTAACAACTGAGCGTTGGGGGACTCAAATTCAAGTTCCTTTCTCCCACGGATCTTAAAGTCGGACCTGAGGCCCACTTGGTCCTTTTGGACCACGATGTTTTGTTGTTTTGGCCAGGGTGTACTGCGACTCCACTTTGGTGCTGGATAAGAAATCGAATGGGCTCTTCCCGCTGGACGGCCTCTGCAAGGGAGCCACGAAGATCGAGATATGGGGGGGCGGCCACTGCGGGTCCTGCTTTATTGATGGCAACCAGCTCACCGTGTTGCCTTATGCGAAGCAGCCCTCTTTGCTCCTAGACACGCACTTTGCAAGGCACGCTGGATTGGTGTTTTTCTGGCAGATGGGGTTGCTAGATGTGTCAAAAATCCGCCTGAAAGCCAGCAGCTCCAGGCATCCAGACACCGGTGACTGGCTACCTGACGGGCTAATGTCTTTTTACATGTCTTTTTTCAATGAAACAAAGGCAGCATATTGAAAGAGTTGCCAAGGAAACTGAACCCTGTGTAGAATAAAACCAGGCTATGGCTGGAACAGTTTCTGTTGCATAAATGGTGTTTTTACATAATATTTACTGTATTTTGCTGTATTTTTGTGAATCAATTTAACCGAAAATATTCACATATCATCTCACACAAAACATGTCAGATGCAATGCCAGAGCCAGAGCCAGAGCCAGAGCTGGTCGGGTATGCGCAGGCCTACCAGAGGACCAGGGGTCCAGGTGTGTTCGTGAGGCCAGATGCGCGTGGGCCATGCCAGAGCCAAGAGACAAGCACGGTTTCCGGGTGTCTTTTCGGGGCCAGATGCGCGGGTTCCAGTCTGTGTGGGTCAGATGCGCGGAGGTGTGGGTCTGAGTGCTTGTGTGGGGCCAGACGGGTTGGCTGGAGCAACACCGAGAAGCTTCGAAAGCAGCCGGGCCAAAGCCCCGCAACACAAGGTCAGACACATCCAGCAGCGCAGGAGGAACGGACAATCTTCGAAGGGGCTGATGAGGCATTTTTGTCCAGGACTAGCAGCTTCGAAGCTGTTGCGACGAGAGGATGAGTGAGCGAGCGCAGACAAGACTGAAGTTTTCAGCCGTAAACTGTCAGGGGGCAAATCGGAGAAGAAGAGGACCTATCATCATTCTGGAGCAACATCGACAAACTCTGTGAGAGAGAGACCTTGGAAAGAGTCGGCAATCTTCAAGAGCACTCCAAGGAACACATTGCGAGCGCACCAGGGCCCGGATTTTGAAATCAGCCAGCGAGCCACCCAGCCGCGACCAGCCCTGTCAGCCAGCTGCGGCCGCCAGCCCGGCCAGCTCGCCAGCAGCGGCCAGCCGGACAAGCCGCAGCCCGGATGACTGGTGCGATGTGACGATGCAAGTTACGGCTGCCATGTAAAAGCGCACGCAGAAATGTAAGCTGGTTGGCGCTCGGCGAAACTTGCGAAACGCCAAAGCACGCAGAGGGTCACTCTGTTTAGCGATTTCATGAATGTTTCTCGCACGTGCATTCTTTTCTTCATCTCTTTTGTGTGCAAGACTACCTTCCAATTAGTGCCCGCAACGCAGAAGTTCCGTGTCAAACTTCCTTTGCTGAGACAGAACGTGGAAGAGAAGTATGAGAACGTTCGCAGTCGTCGCAGCATTGTAAAGTCTCATCCACGGATCGCTTCGAGCGCGTGAACAACGATGCTTGTGACTGGGACCTGTGATGCTGATGGGCATGCGCCCCTCATGGTTTACGTCAAGCCCAACAAGCCGAGCAACCGCGTTAGGAGCGAAAGGACAACAATTGGCAGGCTCGTGCGATTTTCCTCAACAGAGTGACCAGGAGCGGACTCCAACGACCACAAACGAAACATTGCCTCCTCAGGCAATGTCACGAACGAAGGTATTCTAGATCAGAGTAGTGAACTCCGAAGGCGCCGACCTCAACAATTGCAATTGCACTGCCATGGACACCGTCTATACGGGTATAATTTTCTGACAGACACCGCGCAAGCTGTCTCAACAGAGTAAGGATCAGCGCGCAGAGGTTTTCCAAATGACCGCGGCATTTTGGTGCAGAAGGACAAAGGAAATTGGTGTCAGTTTTTGTTCTCGGTTTGTTGCCACATTGGCCCTCTTGCAGCAATGCATGTATTTTGAACATTTGGGCCCAGCACAGTGAGTCGTGACAGTAGTGAGCGCATCTATCCGTGCCCAAATCCAGGCCGGCAACAAGCCTCTCTCATTTCCTTTTGTTGTTTTTTTGCACTGGCATCTTTCTCCCGTTTCTTTCGTCTCAGGTTGAGTTTGGGCTCGGTGCGCGCGCCACAAAGCTTGCACTTCGACCCCGTGCAGGGCCAGTGGTGCATCGGATCCAGCTGCACGGCGCCAGGCACGGGGCCGGTGGCGCCGGTGGGTCTGTCTTCAGATAGCTTCGACGTGGTCGCGGTGAGCGACTTCGACGGTGAGTTCAAGGGCAAGGGCGTACCCAAGCAGGGCGGAGGAGGCCTGAATTATTCAAGACGGCGCCTTTTTGTGACTTCTGAACAAAGCTTAGACTTCCAAAACGTCTCTCCATCAGTAGCCTCCACCCTTGCCTCGGGCCTCATTTGCATCTTCCTGGCACGAGAAGGAGGTGGCCAGTCAACGTTGCCTTCGAAATGTCCACCCGCCCTCACCGCTTTTAGCGTGAAAAGCTTCTTTGTCAAAGGAATCTCCCGGGGTGGGGGATGTTTTTTCCCTAAGGTTCCTTCCGTTAATTTTGGTATGTGTCAAACATAGGGCGACTCTGCAAGATTTCAATTTGAGCCAACGACCAACGAGAATTCGAGTCTCCGGAGCTGCTCCGAACGCCGGAACACGCAGTGCAGGGCAGGCGGCGCTGAAGGCGCGGCTGCGGGGCATCAAGACGCCGAAGCGGCCCAAGGCACCTAAGGCGCCCAAGCTGGAGGGCTTCACTGCCGAGGACGGGGGCTGGGATTCACGCTTGGAGGCGGACTCTCATCAAAACGTGTACACAAACGAGCTGGGAATGCCCGCGCCATCAGAGTTTACAATATGTGCACAGACGAGTCCAGATTTCACCTACTTCTCACTCTAGACCTTCCCCTCTGAGGATCCCACGTACGCTGCTGAGTGCATGGACTACAGCCAGCTTTGGACCTCCATCCAAGAGAGCTACAAGGATTCTGTGCTGCTTTGGGTTAGGATGGGTTAGGCCTGGGTGTGTGAGATGCAACAGGAAGCGCAGCTCGGACACAAGGCGACCAGCCAGCAGTCAGCGTGTTACTTGGTTTCCTTTGGATTCCAGTTGCCAACGACGCGTCACAGGATGCCACAGGCGCGGTGATTCCCCACATGAACAACTTGGCGGCGGAGCCGGTCTACGACCTGCCAGAGACCAACCCGTGCGCGGTGGCAGCGGCGGTGTCCGGCACACGGGGCAAGATTGGCGGCGGGGACGGCTCGCGACTCGACTCGTATGGATTGAGCAGTCCGTTTGCATATATCCGCGTTTTGATCGTAGCTCAGCCGGGATTGAGGGGAAAGGCCTACACCCAAAATCCTCCACGCCGACTTGTGGTGGAGGCCATTAAATATGCAAGTGGGAGCTCTCATCATTTCCTGTTCCATTCTGGTTTGAGCATACTTTGGTTTTATGATATCCAGAGATTTAGCAAGGGTTTTGTGTTGTTTTTCTGCTCAAAGGAGCACGGGTGAGAAGATGGACTACACGGAGCTTGACGGGTGCGCTGCGCGGGTCATCACGCGGGGCCTGGAGGCCGCCAAGTTGGACCGGGACGCCGCTGTCTTCGAGACCATCACCGACGTGGCCTCGGAGTCCGTGGATCTCCTCTGCGATGTCCCGTGCCTTTGGTGATGTAGTGATGTGATGGACAGATGGATGTCGAACGCTCGTAGATCTTTCCGAACTTTTGAGAATTTCAATAGAAGCTCCAAAAGGTGTCCTAGTGTCTTTGTTTTGTTCTCAGGGACCCGGACTGGCTTCTCTCCCGGCTTTTCTGACTTCCGAAGTGTTTTTGCTGAGGCCCAATGTGGAGACGGCGCCAATGGGTCTGGGCGCAGAGTTCCAGCCCGAGGACATTTGTGGGGACTTTAAGGACATGGCCGAGGCCGCTCCGCATCCAACCGCACGAAATCAGTTGGATCACACGTTCGGGATGGGTGCTGGTCAATGGCCTAGGTGTTTTGCCGGCCAGTCTTTTGAGGTCACTTGCAACCTGCCACCTGGTTTTTTGGAGTGCAAATGGGAAGCAGGGATATTCACTCAGCTTGGACTCCAGCGGTTTTCATCCGCAGGCTACGCTGTTGCTGACCAACTTCCACGGGGGCATCGGCTTCGCCAACAGCGGGCGACTCAGAGTGGATATGGTCTCGGCGACTGACCAACTTGAAGTAGCGGCCAACCTTCGCGCGGCAAAAATGAAGAATCCTGCAGAAGCTCCAGCATCCATTTGTTTCTCACACACTCATCTGGCCGTTCAAGGCATTTACGCGGTGGAAGAGGAGGACAACGCGGACTGCGACCCTATCCAGGCCGGGCTGGGCTTTTCTTCCAAAAAGGGGTCAACACACATGGCTAATCAAAGGACACTTCCTCTTTTAGATCGTGCCCTTTGATTCTTGTCACTAATCCCAACCTGCCCAAACCCCACCCAAAAAACCCAACCCTAAAGGCCAACTCTAAACCAAACCTAGACAGCTACCGTCAAACCACCCTAACCTCGTCGCAAGCTCCAGGCCGGCCTGGACCGGCTCTTCTGTGACGTGCACTGCGTGCGGGACGCGGTGGTACGGGGGGACCGTGCCATCCTGCGGAACTTGAAGGCCGCCACGGACGTGACCAACAACAACTTGAAGAAGAGCCTTAGAAAGTTCTCGCTTCGGTTCTAGAGGGGTTCTGATCGCGGGCTTCCGATCTATGCGTGTTTTGCATCCGAGAGAATCCAGAAACGGGCCACCCAATTTCTGTGCGTGTTTTTCGTAACACTCTGATCAGGGCTGGTGTTTTTCACTTCAACAAGCTGTGCCTTTGTGTTTGGGTGTGTCTTTTTGAGGATGCCTTTTCTTGGGCTGTTCTTTTGCATCCATGCAACAAGTTTTGCTTTCTTTGGGTTGTTACCGACGGTCCTTTTCCTTGGTGGTGTGTCTTTTTGAAAGTCTTTTCGGAGAGCCCCCTTCCGGGGCTGGTTTTCAAGGGAAACCAGGCGGAAAACACCCATTTGAGGGACCCATCTGAGGGTTTTTCTAGAGAAATTCATGATCCATGTCAAAGTTCCTTGAACCATGAAAGGGAACAGCAGTGTTGCAGACAACTTTTTTCTCCGTGTCTGGATTATTAACCTTTGCAGACAACTCCCGACAGAATGGGCCATAGCCTTTGGTATGTCTGAAAGACCGTAGCCTTTGGTATTCATAAGGAGTCCGATCCAGAAATAACATGTTTGAAGGGTGAGCCCCATTTATCCAACAAGCCACAAGCAAAACTCAGGTAGTCGAAGGTGAGTAGAGGAAGAAGTGAATGCAGGGATCCGAGGTTTGGGTTTTCCAAAACCATTTGACTGGATCGTTCAAAATCAATCTATGCCAGATGGTAGTGCTTCCCTTGTCGTACCCCTGCAAATGAATCAGCCTCATGCAGCGAATTCAGTTCACCTTCGCACTCTGATTTTGCTCATGTATAGGAATTCCTTTAGCCAATCGTTGTGCTATCGAACATGGAGGTCTGAAAGGACTTGTGGTGGACAAGCACGCGGCCTCATCTTCTTTTCGCAGACCCCCCACAACAAGAGCAGCTTTGGTTCCTGGGTTCGGTTGCCATTCTCTCACCTCCGGCTGTTGAACACCGAGTTTGAGGATCCCATGTTCAGTCCTTGAAAGATACACATCAGCAATTTCAATCTCCACACCAAAAGGATTCCGTCGTTTTTTGGGGCAGTGTTCGGCTGGACAATATGAAGCCCCTGTTTTCGTCGCGGCTCAGGATGGTGGAGTGGTCTGTGGCCGCGAACCGCGCAGAGACCGGGTGGCTGGCCAGCAAGATGGACACCATGGAGGACCGGCTCTCCATCCGCATCCAGCTGGTGCAGGACGAACATGTTTCATGACAATGCTGCGTTTCGTTTGCTATATTTGTGCTTTCTTTGAGGGAACGCGTTTCAGGTCGGAGAAAATTAAGAACACCACCGTTTTTGGGTATCTTTTCGATATTTTTTGGGCCCCGTAGTTTGTCTAACGCATACCCATCGCCTAAGCCGGTTCCATGTGTAGGGGTTCTCAAAATTGCTTCCGGCATTGGTTTCCTTGAAGTTACAATTAATTCCAGGATGTCAGTTTGGATAGACGAGGATAATTTGTCAAGTGAAACGCACAAACACACACATACACAAACACAAGCACGAACACAAACACAAGCGCAAACACAAGCACACACACACACACAGGCAAACAAAACAAGCTCGTAGACAAAGCAGTCCATTGCGGCACTCATGCTCGCAGGATGCTTTGGCGAGTGCCAACACGGCAGCATTGGTGGAGGCGAAGCGGCTCAGCCAGTCGATGCTGAAGGAGAGACGATTTTTCAGCTTCGGAGTCCGCCGAGTTTTTGTCTCTGAGAATCTCAGAATCTCTATGGTCGGATTCTCGGATCTTAGGAGCTCTCTGGCTTCGCGGAGGGCGCCGGAAGCATGCGGCTGCCGAAGAAGACCGCGGCGGAGGCCTTGGGGCGCTTCGCGCGGGAGGCCCAGAAGCTGTCAGGCGCGGCCGTCAACTTCAGGGGGCCTGGGTCCTGTTGGAGCCTCGGTGGTTTGGTGGTTTCGTTACGTCGGACCTTGAGATCTGGGATTGCCAGCGGATCTCTGTGAGGTAGCGTTGTTTGAATGAGCCTCCAGACTGTCACAACGAATGTGTAGCAACCTCGGGTGCAACCAAGTCCGAAAGGAGGGAAGCTTCACTTTAGAATTGTAGGTGTTTCACTGCAAGCCCTTCGGCATGTAGGAAGCGTCGCTTGCTGTTTCGTTCTTGCCGGGGGAGAGAGTTGTATGTGTTGTGATGGCGATCACCAACCATTCCATGAGGGCTGCAAGGTTCCACTCGTCCCGTCACAGCACGTTGAGGCCAGGCTCCTTTCAGATGCCGGTCAGATGCTGGTCTCAGCCGGACTTCCGGCCACCCTGGCACCAGGGTTGGGCCAACCTCTTGTTCAAACATTTTGGTTAGACTATTGTTTGAAGAACCTTTTGGTTCCCCTTTGGGAAGCAGGGCTTGGTTGGTTGTTGGTTTTGCCACCCTCCACCACTCAGTGCGCCTCGTAGAAAATGGGAAGCCACAATGTAAAATTTGGAGGTAAGAGTCCCTGCTTACCTACAGTGCTACAATTATAGTGGTATTTGGCCGGGCCAGGCCCGCTGAACAGCACCAGCTTCCTCACCGCGTCCACGGCGCTGCGGCAGCTGCAGACGCTGCACGCCACGCTCTTGCGGCAGTCGACCACCGGCCGCGTGAAGAGTTTGGGCGCGCAGTTCCAGCACGAGGCGGTTTGGCGGTTTGGGAGGTAGGGAGGTGGTCTTGGGGTAAACAAGGCAGGAGGAATGTGACAAGTTGGGTACCCTCAAAACACACCCATTTTGAGTGCTCAACTGAGGCGCTGAACCTCCAAGAGTTGGCCCGGAGGCAGCTGAAGACGCTGGGGGTCTACCGCCAGCATGGCAACGTCACCAGCCGCGCGGTGCGCGCCTGGCAGGCGATGGGTTTTGTCCTGCAACACGACTTCTTTTCTTTTGGCCGTGGCTTGGAAACATGTTTGGGCTTCCTCCCCAAAGGTTCTTTTTCCTTTTGCAGGCTTCTCGGAAAGATCGACCGTTGTGGTAGGGAGGGTAGGGAGGGATAGGGGGCGCGAGGGGGGTGGGGTAGGAGATGGCTTAAGGGAAGTCCAAGAGGGATGAGGGTAATGGTTCCGCATGGTTCCGCAATTTGCATTCTTCCTGCAGATGTTTGGTGCTTGGCCCCCCCACCCCGTTCCCTTTTGGTTGTGCCCTTCCGGGAGGCTGAAGGAGGCCGCGGCGCACTGATGGAGATGGACCGGCTGTGGTGGGAGCTGCGGGGGAAGCTGGATGCCTACCTGGATGCTGCAGAGCAGCAGGCGCAGTCAAGGAGTCGGTCGGAGAGGTGTCTGGTTCCGTCAAAGGGACATCCTCAAAAATCCCCTCTAACTGATTGTTTGATTGTTACAAGGGAAGCACCAGGACAGTACTTCCCCTGTGTTCGGAGCACAAGTGAGCGTGTTCTGAACGAGCGGATATAAGGGCAAACAGATGGCCTCTGTTTTTCGGCCTGCTGCCGGTTTCCCCACGTTCAGGTGATGGGGTGTAAACCATGCATCTTCCCTCCCGGAGTGTTCATTGTTTACCGGGTTCCTTAGTGTGCTGGCATGCCAGCATTTGAACGTCTCGAGGGGTTCAAAAGTTCAAGCATTGACATCTAAATAGCAAGGGCCCCCATGATAAGGCATCCCTGTTTTGCCAGCTGGAGCAGCCTTGTCAACCAGTGAAGGCCGGTCACACCCACAGACATGAGACTGTGAGCAAAGGCCCGGGCTGGGTGGTTAATAAGTCCTTGGGTAGAAGTTATTTAGCGTACAAAGAGCCTGGCTATTTTAACGCCTCCGGCTCAGGCCGCCGACATTACAGGCCTGCTTTCTTATTTGCGTCCTTTTGGAATTGTCCCCTTGCCCCCCTTCCCCTCTAAGATCTTTGCCCCCCTTTCCCTGTTGAGATCCTTTCCCCCTTTCCCCCCTAAGGCCTTTCCCTCCCTCTGAGATCCTCTCGCTTTTCCTCCCCAAGATCTTTCCCCCCCCCATTTCCCCCCTAAGGCCTTTTCCATCCTGAGATCTTCTCCCTTTTCCTCCCTAAGATCTGTTCCCCCCTTTCGATCCTTTCCCCCCCTTTCCCCCTAAGGCCTGAGATCTTCTCCCTTTTCCTCCCTAAGATCTTTCCCCCCCCTGTCCCTGTTGAGATCCTTTCAAGGCCTTTTCAGATCTTCTCCCTTTTCCTCCCTAAGATCTTTTCCCCCCTTTCCCGTTTGAGATCCTTTCCCCCCTTCCCCCCTAAGGCCTTTTCCCCCCGAGAAAGATTTCCCTTTTCCTCCCGAAGATCTTTTCCACCCTTTCCCTCTTGAGATCCCCCCCCCTTTCCCCCCTAAGGCCTTTCCCCCCCTGAGATCTTCTCCCTTTTCCTCCCTAAAATCGTTTGCCACCTTTCCCAGTTGAGATCCATTCCTTCTTTCCCCCCTAAGGCCTTTTCCCCCCCTGAGATCTTCTCCCTTTTCCTCCCTAAGATCCTTTCCCCCCCTTTCCCCCTAAGGCCTTTCCCCCCCTGAGATCTTCTCTCTTTTTCTCCCGAGATCCTTTCCCCCCCCTTCCCCCTAATGCCTTTCCCCCCCCTCCCCCTGAGATCTTCTCCCTTTTCCTCCCTAAGATTTTTTCCCCCCTTGCCCTGTTGAGATCCTTCCCCCCTTTCCCCCCCAAGGCCTTTGTCCTCTACTCCCCCCAAAGATCTTTCCCTTTCCCCTCCCCCCCCCTCCGATCTTCTCCCCAGTTCCGCCCCTAAAATCTTTTTCCCCCCTTTCCCCCAAAGATCTTCATTTCCCTTCACTTTCCTTCACTTCGGCTCATGTCCCTGTATGTCTGTTTTGTTCCTTTTCTTTCATTTCACTTCATGTCATTCATTTCCATGCATTTTCCTTCATTTCCAGATTTTCCTTCACCAGCATGGGCAACATCCCCAGCATTACTTGCATCATCCGCATCCTTGGCAGGCGCTGATGCGGATGATGTAGGTGGTGCTGGCGATGTTGCCCAGGAGATGAAGATGCAAAAGCGGACCTGGGGGGAATCAAACGCCCCAATGTTTTTGCGCAACCCGTGCGGGCCCCAGAAGAAAGGATTTGGAGGAACATCTTGGAATGTGGCCAGCCACCCGAGGGGAGGGGTAACAGGTAAAGAGGCCAGGAGCATTTCTCATGTCCAACGCACCACCTGTTGTTGGCGGATTTACCACCTACTTGTGGCTAGCAGCCTTGTCAACTAGCATCGACTGAGGGTCACACAGACATGGGACTGTGAACAACGGCGCATGTTGCTATGTGGTTGGTGAGCCAAGGGTTACTCACCACTTATCTGACTATTTTTTCACAGTCGCCAAGTTCCCGGCCAGGTGTCTGCGTTCCAGGCCTCCGCGTCGGCCATTGCCTCCTATGAGCACTGCGCGGCTCAGCTGGGCCAGGTGCAGCAGAGCTACGCCCACAGCTTGGCGGCCACACATCGGGGCCACGCCGCCTTGAGGCCAGGGGAGTGCCCCATAAAATGTGAAGAGAATTTCATGGACACGACTGGGCCTTTTTTGCAACTTCTTCTTTGGAGACTGGGGGCTTTTTGTGATTTGGAGGTTTGATATCTTGAGCATGTTGACATTTCCAGACTAAATTCTGGTTGAATTCTATTTCAAGACAGACGCCAGGAGAATTGCAGCTACCATGTCTTGAAAGTGCAAAAGCAACTAGCTCGCAGGTACAAACACAACGCTCTTCAGCAATGCAAGCGTGCTGGTCGTTTCTTTTGCCTTTTCCAGTGAGAGAAAAGAACTCAAGGAACATGTAATTTCAGTTCGATTGGTTTACCAGTTTTAAGTTGCGCCACCTTAAGTTTAAGTCATAATAGACATCACGTCAAAATCTAAATCAATACATATAAGGTAATAAAACAATACGAGCAAAATCAATGGAATATATCTATTCAATTTGGAAATAGAATGGTGTTAAAATTGAATATATTTTATGTTGAAAACAATGAAAATTCGTTGAATATAAAAACAATGAAGTTAGGTTGTATTCAAAGAAACCTTTAAACAAAACAGATGTAGCTGTTTTAAATAAAGCATATTTAGTACATAATTTGAAACATTCGTGAACAAGTAACATATTATAGGAATTTTGGTGATGTAAATGTAGTGATGAATGTATTAGGATATTGGGTAAAGTTAGCATTGCATAACAACAATTATGATAAAACATGTGGAAACAAATTAATTGAATGGGCGCGCAATGCTCGATGACAACTCCAAGTTCCTGACGTGCACTCCTACTTTGCATGGGTCACTCCGGCTTTTGAACTGTGCCGTGTTTGGTCTGCCATGCCGTAGTTGGGCACACGCACTGTTTGTTGCTACTCCTGGACATTTACAAGCGAGTGAATTGAGCTGTTATTACACACACACACACACCTTGACCAGAGCTGCGCAAGTAGTCACACTCTCTCTCTCGGTTTGTGTGTGCATGCTATGTTCTAGCGTGTGTGTGTGTGTAAGTCAGTGAATGTGTGCGCGTGCTTTTTAGACAAAAATGTTTACAGGATTTACCTTCACCCATTGTTGTTTTTGCGCTCTGGAAAGACTGATGAAGGTCTCATTACCTGCCGGTCATGTGAGAGCACGGCTGGATGTTGGCTTTGGCTTCCTCTGCCAGTTCAAAGTTAAATGACCCACCAGAAGATACTAGGAGAAATGACACTATCAGAAGGCACATTCGACCGGCTGGTTCAGTTGAGCGCGAAACCTGAGGTTTAGGACGCTGTAAGCGATGATCATGTCGGGCTTTCTTGCTCGTCAATGCCTGGCCCCTCTAAGTTGTCAGGCCTATAGCAGCGTCGGATTCTAAAGATGTCTCACTGCAGCTGCAGCCGTCGGCTCTAAATTGCTCCCGCAACTTCCGCAGCTTCAGGATGATCTCACGGGTGGAGCCGCGGAGTTTTGGGCAGCGCGGGAGAATGCATCACCACTCGCAGCACATGTGGACGTGAAGCAGGTTCGATGACCATTGCGCTGACTGGCTTAGCTCAGGCTGACATGGCGAGGATGTGGAACGAGCGCTTTGCGAGCTGCTGTACGTATGTGCTGCTTGGTGTATCAGCTGTTCAACCGTTCGGCTTATGCAAGCTAGCTATACTCAGGATTCGCAAGCCTGCAACGGCGACTTCTACCAGGTAGAGAGCGTGCTTCTGGACTTTGACCGCCTGCGCGAGGAGGTGGCCAGCCCGGGTCGATGAGCCATCAGGTGCAATGTAGCGCTGCAGTGCGATTCTGCAGGGTCAAGGCTTGCCGCTGACGACGGGTTTTCGTGGTTTGCAAAGAAGTAAACTGCAAGGGGCGCGGTGGTAGCTTGGCAAGCTACTGGGCGCTCCACCACGGAGTTCATGTTGCCGTCAAAGGCACAAATTCACCAAGAGGACCTACCCCTCACCTTCAACGCGCCAGCTGTGTGGAATGAGCCGCCGTTCTTCATCCAGTAAGGTGATACTGCAGCCACGTCGGCTGCACTCCATGAGTCCAGGTTATGAACGTCTGAACATATTTTGCTCCATCATGACTTGATCCCTCAAGACTGCATGACAAGCAAAGCAAGGCAAAGAATCCGACACGCAAGAAGATTTTTACGGCACAAGCTCTGCGGAGTTCACCGGAGTCTAGTTGCGTGCCTCAAGTTGCTGGTAGAGGCCTCGCGTCCTTGTCCTTTTTCCGCCTGACCATCTCATCCAACTCCAATTGCGTCCATGCCGTGAATGGTTCATGGTATGCATTGTGGAGGGCTATCGTGAACTCTTGCAGAAGTTCACAAGGACCATGCACCGCTGTGGGGGATGGGCGAAAAGACGAAGCACCAGGATGCGGACGGATAGAATGGTCCGAATCAGAGTTGGGGTAGTGGTAGGTGTCGTCGGTCCACGATGGGTGTGTGCCGTGATGGGAGGAGGTGCTCTTGGCGGGGGCAGTCGGTCCACGAGAGCTCATGTTCCGCTCCTGGGCCTGGAACTTCACCACGTTCATCACGAGGGGGCGACAGCTCAGGTATGTACCAGGGTCAAGGATGTGTCCAGAGGCTAAGTCCTAGTCCAAGGCGGCGTGTGTGACGATGCGTTCCGTGATGATGCGTGGCCGTAGACCATGCCGCGAGTTGCGTGGCGGTCTGGGCGCCATCCTGGGATCTGATTCTGAGTTCCGATTGACTGCAAGGGCAAAGTTCAAGGTGTCCACAGATGTCGAAATTTGTGAGGCAAGAACGTTGCGCGCGGCAATCAGGTTGTTCACGAACTCCGGAGAAAACCACATAGCAACCGTAAGCAATGCAAGGAGAACTCAAGCAAAAGGCAGCTGCGAGACAACACAACCTGGGCAAAATGAAGTGCACACCTGCTGTGTCAGAGAGCTGAGTGTCTGTTACCTGGCACCGGCGCTGCGATATTCTGATGATAGCACGGGGCCACGAGGATTGAGTGGTCGCCTGCGACGACTGCGGCTCCGAGAGCGGTGCGATGGGGTTCGCGTGTCCTCGACCGTCTCCTCCTGTTGCGTTCCCTGGATGCATGTCACTGACGGGCTCAATAAGATCATCATCTTCTGCTAGCGTGGCTACCAGTGTAATAGGCATCGATGTGAAGGATGTTCTCGTTGCCGGTGCCTTTGGAGATGTCGGTGCAGCGTCGAAGGTGGTGGCAGCGGCGGAAGTACCTCTGGCGCCGTCGGTACTTACCATAGGAGGAACAGCGGGTGCAGCAGGAGGAAGTGGTGGTTGTGGATGCCGTTGGTGTCCTTCAAGGCGTTGTAGTCCAGCCACAAGTATACTGATCTGCGACGAGATGGAGTGTAGAAGTAACGGCATTCTCGTAAAATGTCACCGTGATCCATGACGGTTGGGGAACAGGCCAGCAATGGCTCTGTGACGCGATCAGGCATAAACCGCAAACTACAGAGGCATCAAGACCCACAAGCAAGCAAACATGCAAACCTTACAATCACACAACTCTGCATGATGAGCGGCGCAGGATGGACTTTTCGGGAAGAGCAATCCAAGCAGCCGAAAACGTCATGATGAATATCACGAAAAGTCAACTGCCACAAACCGCATATGGTTGCTGCATGGGAATCGTCGAGTCAGCGCCTCACCGGCAGGGCTGTCACAAGGTCGTGCAGGAAATAGTCACCAGAACATCCCCACGTAGCTGGGGACCGCAATCGATGATCGAAGTTTCCACCTGCCATCTTTGGCGTGAATGCAGTTATAGTAGTGGGAAGCGGCAATGTCTGCGCACGTGCCGCCGCGTGGAATCATGCGTTGTGCGCCCAAAAGAACGGCGAGATCGACTGAGCGCGAAAGTTATCCGGTAGCTTGCGGCGCGGCTCAAAGGAGAAGATGATCCCATGGCGATTGTTCCGAGAATCCTTTTTGCCGGGCTGGAAACGGTAGTGTGTCCTCGGGGTCTTCTCAGCACTTTTCCAGGACGCCCAACTGAACAATGAGTTGCTCAGGCAAATTGTGTACAGCGATGTCAAACTCCGATGATCTCCGTGGTCCAAGCTCCTGGGTTGCCATGCGGGAGTCTCTCTGCTGTCAGTTCCGAGACAGATCTCACTCTGTGCTCATCCCGGATGATCTTCTCACGGTGCGGCGTGAGGCTCCGGCACACTGTCTCCCAAGACTGCTTCGATTTGGTAGACCAACTCCGCAATGCAAGGAAGGGTGTAGCGCAAGACATCGTTGATGCGTATGGCAATTTCCTCAACCTGAGAGCCCGAGCGAAGCACGAAGTGATGGCTGCCCAGTGATGGTGCCGGAGCGCGAACACGAAGCTGAATGAGGTCAACCGTGTGCGTCGGATGGTCGGTCCTGCTGTTCAAACATGGCGTCCTGGTGGGGCTCATGGTGACCGAGGTTGTCTACGGTCCGGCGACCACTATGTGTCCATTCGCCCCAGTCATCATCATCTTCGGATTTGCCATGAGGTCCAGGGGTAAGTCTAACTCGAGATCGGCGAGGCACTGGGGAGCGTGAGCGCATGTCTGTTGGCCGGTCCTGCATCGCATAGGCGGTGCGCGAGGAGCTGTGGCTCTGAACATTCCGCAGATGCACCACGCCGTGTGTCTGTACGAAAAGCTGCACCTCAATGAAGCTAGGGAACTGGTCCAAGGTGACCTGACTGGTGGTCTGTACTGTCCCATCCGGGCGCAACAGGCTGCTCACCGTGTAGACTGCATGAGGGGAACGTCTAGTCGAGTCAGCAGCCTCAAACTGAATGGGATGCACCAACGCCATGCCAATAGATGGATAAGCACAGACAAACAAACAACCACAAAGTCCGAGCCAGCTCCAAACCATGCACACATGCACACAATCACACATGAGCAAACGCAAGTGAGCAAAGACACCAACAATGCAAATCGGATCAACATGCTCATTTGGTTCCACTCTTCGGCGAACATCTCTCAACAAATCCGGGTTGAAGCCTTTGGCTTCATAAAGAGTTGAGCTCCACGCGCGCTGGGCCACGATCTGGATGACCACGAGGAGTAAGTAAACATCTGATCATTGGCGCTTCGAATACCTTTGATCTGAGACGGATGATCGGGCAGCTGTGGTGTGATAGTCTGGAGGCTGAATCACACATGTACCCAAGCACTTTGGTGTCATTTTGCGTCTCCAGCGTGACTGGAGGACGATAAAATTCCCGTGACAGAAAATTTCGAAGGACTGCTGACGAAGGCGCTGCATCCCTCAAAAGTATGAAGCGATTTGTCGACATAGCGCTCGTGCCAGATCACACCAAGGTCTGGCATTTGAAACCTGAGCGTATCCATGGTCTGATGCCAGAAATAGTCCTCAACCGTAGCAACGAGATTGCGCAGAGGAGGAGCAGCCGGGGATCCCATTGCAACACCTCGTTCCTGCCTGAACAAGTAGCCATCATTGATCTCGAAGTGGCTGTTGGCAATGACGAAGTCGAGGAGACACTGTAGGTCTTCTTCGCGAAAAGTCCGGGGAACTTTTGTTTGACGGCGCCATTTTCCTTTAAACATGCGTCGCCGATGATCAGACTTCACTTCATAGACCGACCAGTGTGATGCGTTGCGTAGACCCACCGCCTGATCATAGCGATGAAGTAGAACCTGGAGAGCTTGGTGAAAACGTTGTGTGGGAATTGCTGTGAAGAAACCGGACAGGTCTTGTGACACCAACTGTATATACTCCGTAGGGTCTGCGGACGACAGCGCATCCCAGAGTTCCTGAACCGAAAGCCGGAAAGGTGATCTTGGTGAGCTCAAAGATGAGGGCGCCGAAGACCGTGAGAAGAGGCGCAGCCCACGTGCGAAAGAAAGGAATGATTGGTCTCGCTTTGAGCCAGTCTTTGCTCGGTTTGGGCAGAATGCGAGCGGTGGGAAAGGGTGCTTGAAGTCGTAGGCTCCACGCATAGCGGTGTTGCACGACTTCGGCACGCAAGGGTGCGGCAGACTCGCGGCGTAATGCAAATACTTCTCCTGTGCAAAAGGTCTTGTGCAACAGAGTGGAAAACAAAGTTGGGCAGATCGCATGAGCACGCGAAGGGAAATGATCCGCTGGAATGACAACCCACGTCGTCAGGGCACGAGTCGTGTACTGCAATGACTCTGAGGTCCAGTGAACCTGGTCTTGGACATTAGAGCGATGTTCAGCAAACAACTCTGCCAGAATGGGTTGGGAATCAGTATTAAAGCTGGACCCTTGTACCTTCCATCGGCGTGCCAGTTTGCGAAAGCTGCATCTTCAAACGTTGCTGAAGTTTGTCCACATCACCAAAGTATTGATCCTTCATGGATGGTTGGAATCAATATCAGCGAAGCACGTATTCTTGAAGCAGTTTGATTCGCGTAGCATGCATAACGTTTTGTTTGGGCATCAACCCCAGCCCCGGATCGCAGCCTTTGCAGGGCCGACGACATGCGTATGAAGAATGGAGATGAATTCTCCGTTCTCCGGCATTCAGACTTTTTTACGCTGTGCGAGGACATGGGGCTTGCGTTTCCAGACGTGGCAAGCTGGCCATTTACATTTTCTTCAAAGCCCACACACGTACAGATCCATATCCTGTCTGGCTCCATTTTCAGAAAACCAGTCCCTTGTCTAGGTTTATGACTAGTCAATAACATCTATGGACTATCAAGTTTGAGAAGAGTGTCCAAATTGAAATACCGATTCAAGCCCAGTCCAAGTTCAACTTTAATCGATTGTAGTTCCTTGTGCGTGCCGAATAAATCACAAGCATGGAGAACAAGCAAACAACCATTTCTAAGGGGCTTTATGCCTTATCCAATTCCGCGTGATTTCGGTGAAGCACAAACTGAGAACAAACGTGAAAACAGACCGAGCCCGGCAGTGCTGGGCTGCTGGGCTGTTGTTGGGCTGTTGTTGGGCTGTTGTTGGGCTGTTGTTGGGCTGTTGTTGGGCTGTTGTTGGGCGTTTGTTGCTGTGTTGTTGTTGTTGTTGTTGTTGTTGTTGTTGTTGTTGTTGTTGTTGTTGTTGTTGTTGTTGTTGTTGTTGTTGTTGTTGTTGTTGTTGTTGTTGCCCCCTTGAAAAGAGGTGGTTCAAACTGCGCGCTTCGTGCATTCAACAAAAATGGTCTCCTTATGTAAGAAAAGCAACAACCCAAAACGTTTGCTCAGGTGATATCCCTAGCAGGATGAAGTGCGCTGTTGCGCCCCGCAGATTGGAGCTCATCATCCCGGGCACGCAAGCCAGAACTGTAAAGTGACACAGCTTCTGCTCTAGAACATTGAGACACTCAAATTGCCGCTCCACTGCCTTGCCTGCGTGCCACTTGTCACCTTGCAAGGGAAAACGGCTCAGCTCTCCTTGACAGTTAAAGCGGTACCAGCAACCAGGGCCTTTGCTCGGAACCGTGCTGTGCGTCCCAAAGCCCAGAAGACCTCCTGGATTTCCGTGTCGACCTCCCTACCGTTTGAAGGTTGCTCGCCGCGCCCGCCACCCCTGCAGCCAGAGTGTCTGCACATACATCGCTTTCGCCTGCGCCAATATGTTCATCAGAGAAGCGCGGCTTGCTGCGTTCCAGTATTGCGGAAGTTCCATCTAAACTTCCTTTAACAACTTGAATCGAATTAGAAAGCACATGCGACTGGAGCACCTTTCAGTTTGGTTCAGATAGCATTGTAGAAAAAGAATGAACTCCTTTATCTAAGGTGCGAATTGCTGATTCTGTGCAAAAGAGCAGGAACAAACCAAACGATGACAGAGCTGTTACAGGCACGTTGAAGTCGCCACATTGCACTTTGCGTACTACCCCTACACTGAAAAGTTGTGCTTTTTGAGCTGGAGCTGTCAATTCTGATTCGAAGTGGGTGAGGCTCAAGGTCCAAGATGCTGGAAAAAGTGCCGGTGGAATCCTCAATCTTGAGTCCTTTTTGCCTCAAAGTGACTTTAACTGTCGAGAGAGAGGGAGAGAGAGAGAGAAAAAGAGATAGAGACCACAAGAGACGGAGAGAGACCCCACTCTGTCTCAGCCAGAGTTTGGATCTAGGCGCGCGTGGCGTGAGAGCTTGGTCTTGTTCGGTGAGCTGGGCGCGGTGATCACGGACGGGGACCTCTTCGGCGCGTTGATCCGGGCTGAGGGCTGCGGCTCCAAAAGCGCGCGCCAGACTCTGCGCCAGACGCGGTACGCAGTGAAGGCGTTGGGCTTGCTGGCGCATCGCTTCCAGGTGGGGAACGGCCGGGGAGAGGTCCGGATTTTTTTGTCATTGGCTTTGAGTTGAAATGGAAGGGGGCTTCTGAGGGGTTTGACTGAAACTTTTCAGTTGCCTACGGATTCTTTTTGCAAGGTTTGGGCGTGAAGCTGAGGGTCCCAGACCATGTTGCGCATTCAAGCGCAGACAGCCTCCCAGACCGGAACCTGACAGGTCCGGAAACTTGGGCGAACCAGAAAGCTACGAGAGCTTGATAAGGCAAGCCACAAGCGACCTGGGGTTAGCACCTGTCTTCCCAAAGACTTTGTGTGTTGGATTTGGATCTCGAACAGTTTCCTGGCCGGCTTGGCCGTATCCGAAAGGTTGGGGGCCTGCCGAAGCCAGACGGCAGTGTGCTGGTGCAATCTGTGAGGCGCATCCAGGGCAGTTTTAAGAAAGCTCATGCCGCATGCGGCAAGTAGCGCAAGCTCTCAAAGAGCGTGTTTTTTTCAACTCTTGATAGACAGTTTCAAGTTCTTAAAAATGTGCGCAGCCCACAAGAGGTGGTACAGGTATGTTGTCCCTGTCGGCACTGTAGAGGCAGTTTGCTTGGCAGGCGACTTATGACCATGGCAGGGTAACATTGCCAAAGGCGCGGGGTAACACTGACCCTTACGTCGGAATGTATCGACCCCGGAAGAAAACAACTGGGCTCCGAGGGCACCTGAAGCAGGGTAGTCTTTGCCCGTTTTCGGTGTTGTCTTGGGCGCGGAAAAGGGGACACCAATTTGCTTGGTTTACTCCTCCCTTGCTTGGGAATTCATGAAAGAGACATCAATGAAAGTGAGCAAAGTCTTGCAATGCTAGAGCGGTCACCGGCCTGCTCGAGGTTTGGTTCAACCAATCGGAACATCACACGCCCTGACCTATTGAAATTGTAGTTGCCATGGCATTTTCCACGCTTCCCTCACTCCCTTGAAGATGAACATAGAACGTCCTTCAGAAGGAAAAGTCTTCCGGCTGTCCGGACTTTCCTGGATGGCAACCTAGCACGAGCTGGATGCCTGTGCCCTGTTTGCTTCGGTCGCCTGCTAGGTTAAAGAGATTGCGTCGTATATGGGGCATGCAGGAATTTGCCACAGCTACCTTTGCTTGTGTAGCAAGCCCTTTCTACTCCAGAACTTTCCAACTCCCATTAACCGTAGAGAGAGTCCAGGTTGCCAAGCCAAGGCCCCGCAAACGCGGATCGTGCAGCTTCGGTCCTTGGCAGTTTTCTGGAAAAGGTCACAGGTCAATGGATGCAACGTGTACAAAATCAGAAACAAAGAAAACGGGGGTGGCCGGACCCCAGAAAAGAGCAGTCTTTGGCGTTGCTTGGCCATTCACCTGGGTCGTTCGGGCTCAAGGCAACAGCATTCTGGAGAACACAGTTTGGAGGGATTTTGAGCCTTTCCCCAGCTGAAGGTCTCTCAAAGGCTTTCGGATTCAGATTTTCTTTGTTTGACATGGCTACACCCCAGAGCTGACCTTGGATGCAGGCCCCGCCTCCAGCCTGCAACCGGTGCCTAGAACATGGCATTTACAGTACGGGCCAGGGTGACCCCAAAGCGATGGCTTCCCTTTTGGCTTTCCTTTGCACGATACAAGGCTTTATACAAATCTCTAGAACCAATCATCATCAATGGGTTTTGAGCACTCGTATGATGCGCGATGGCGGCGCATCAACTTGCCGCGCACGGATCGGAAGATGCGGGGCATGGGGGTGCTGCTGTTGCTTGCTCTGTCGAGTTGCAGCTGTGCCTGGCTTGGTCGTCGCATGGCAGTGCTGGTGCCAGTAACGACCCTGGCAGAGATTGCACATGCGGATTCCGGCAAAGCACCTGGCAGACCACCGGTGACTATGATGCAGCTGTATCCAGAGTTTATTCGCATGGAAGGCCCCACGGGTGATTTCAGCATCAACATTCCAACTGGCTGGAGGACAGAGTTCGATAACAGTCCTGGGCGACTGGTTACTGCCTGTGAAACCAACGGTGGCTTCAACAGTGCCACTCTTCAGGTGGCCCGGATTTCTTTGTCAAGTCTTTTGGGAAGTGCAGGTGTGGAAGTGCCGGCAGATGCTGAAACAAGCAATTGGAAGGAGGTCACTGGGAAGGTGAGCGAATCAAATCTGGCACAGGCCTTGATGCGTGTTGCTCAGAGAGGACTCACTGATGAGCCAGTGGAAGACTATGCCAATACATCGGTGGTTGAAACTGAGATCGAAGCCCCGGAGCCGAATAGAGACGCGACCTCCTTTCTCTGGAGGGCCAAAATGGCCGTCCAGGATTTCCGTCAGCCACGTATCGTCAGCGGGAGGGCCTTGCTGAGACGTGGCAGAGTCGTGTTGGCCGTGGCCAACGGCTCGGAACGCTTCGGCGCAGTGTCGAGCGCCATTTCCGCAAGTGGCACTGGCTGGGAGTTCAACAACCGCCTGGTGGGGAGCTTGCGCCTGCGACGTACTGCCGGCTGAACGGGTTCCGGTTTTGCAGCGGGTGCAAAAAGAGAATGCGGAGTTCTAATTTGAGCTGCTTGAGCATAGAAAGAACTTGGGCAGACTGAACGTGTTTCGGTTCAACGCAATCACACAATGTCAAACACCTCAGATTGAGAAACAGCTGTGGCGCCAAAGGGATTGCAATTGCTTGTTGCGCGCAGGCATCACTCTCACACGTGCCATTTCAACACGAATGTGTAGATGTTTGTGTACACGCCTGTAATTACATATATCTCTATGGCACTTCCCCGGATAGCTGAAAGTAAGCCCAAACTTCAAGTAAATAAGGGGTGGGTGTGGCTCGGATTTCCGACAGGGTGATGTTGCAGGGTGCTATTGTAAGGCACTTGCAGCTGTGACGAGTTCCGCAGGGTGCTGTTGCAGGGCGCTGGTGCAGGCTGTGACTCGCAGCTTTTCGCAACCGCATCTTGGAACGGCGCCTTGGGCAGCTTTGAGTGGCCAAAGGCAGGGCCCCCACAAAGCAATCTGCGGCGCCTCGGCGCGCCGAGCGCATGCCGGACCGGCGCCCTAACGCAGGGTTTGGCTGGCAAGGTTTGTGCTTCGTTTGGCCTTCTTTTTGTGCAGGTCAAGAGCCTGCTGCGCCAACTGCCGCACTTTGCCTTGCGACGCACACAGGCGGCAACGTCTGATGCAACTCTGCGGCAACCTGCATAACCCTTTTGGCAACAGCACTCTGCAACGGTGCTTCGAATTACAGGGCCCAACAGCAACTGGCGGAGTCTTGGTGGCTTTGCTAAATGTTGCCGATTGCGTGAGGAGCTAGGAGTGCGATTCGGACACTGCGGGTTGCTGCTGTGGGTTGCTGCTGCAGGGTGCAATGCTTTTACATGGAGACTCGTGGTAGCGTTGTTGTTTCTTAGGGACGGGCCCTCGGTATGTTTTGCTGCTGGACAGTATTGTTCTATACTTTTGTGGCGTCATTGCCTAATGCGAATTTCGCGATAGATGTAGTGATATGCTTTCAGATGAAGGCTTGCGCAGTATGCCGCTGATCTGTTGCCAGAAAATACAGTCGTACTTCGTTTGGGGCTGCCTTATTTCCGGAACCGAGGCAAACCACAGCCAACGTCTGTTTAAGTGGCAATTCGTCTGCTGGCAAGACATTCTTGCCATTCGGGGTCTATGCTGATATCATCACTTAACTCACATTGGATCATATTTTAGCACATTGCCAATTGCTTGGTACAAAATTACGGAATGTTGCTTCTTGCGTGGCTCAGGTCGGCGGATTTGGCAAACGGCACGATTTCTTTTACACAGCCGCGTTTCAGCTGGGCGGTATCTCTCTCTCACTCCTCACATTTTGAATGATTTGAGTTGCAGCAACCCATTTGACTCGCGGAGCTGCAGTGAAGAGCCTTTGGGCAGTCACATTGGAGAGAGGAAACCAACCCATTTCTGCGGACCCCGCAGCCACAGCCCATTTAGGAAGCTTTGGAGTTGTGGCCAATGGGCTGCCATTGGGAGATGTCGTGGGCTGCCCCAGCAAGTCTGCAACTGCCAGCCTCCAGCATGCAGCCTGCCGCCTGTCGCGCATTGTTTCCTTTATGTCTGTGGTTGCACAAACTCCTGCACCAGTTGGTAAGTGGTTTATTTCAGTATTCATAGGGATTCCCTCCGTCCCAAGTGCAGGATTCTGTCCATCAGCATGTGAAGGAAGCCTCAAAAAGGAGCAATAGTTGTAGCTCCGTGCGAGTTTTCGGTCTAGTATTCCGCATTGGGTGTCCCTTTTATGCGGCTCCTTTTCAGAGACAAACTCATATACTGAAGTGGCGTGAACTCCGCTTGAGGTTGGTGCCCAACCTACATGGGGTCCGCTGGTGCTTTGTGTGTGGGGATATCCCCATTATGCGGGCGAGAAACAGGACCTCTCAAGACCAAGCACGTTGCATTCTTTTCGGAGTCGCAGTCGTCCTCCCTTGTTTAGGGGGACCCCAAGAAACAAAGCGCGAACCCTGTCCGTCCAACCCAAGACCTGGTTTTGGACCTTCATTTTATGGGCCCAAAACATTGGGGGCTCCCCAACAGAATCTTTCGGCTTTTCTTTAATTGAAAGCCACCCCAAAAAGGCAACCAAGAAAGCAGACGCATCCACAACACGCACAGCCCAAACGCCAGCCATGTTTTTTGTGAGGACGAGGGGGAGCAGGAGGCTGAGGACCGGGTTCTCGCGGAGAAGTGCGGCTTGCTGCGCGCGCGGCTGCGGGACGTGCCGGAGGAGGATCTGCAGCCTTCCGGCGACAGTGGAGATCGTCCCGCTTGGGTCATCCGGTTAGGAAGTGCTTGACTTCCCTGGTTAATGTGTAATGTGGTTCACTTCCCACTTTTGAGGGAAGCAAAACGCCGTGGATAGAATCCAGGGTCGTCCTGAGACGATAGTGGGAGAAACGTTGATGGAAGGTGTTCAGGGTACCCCTTCAATGGAATTTGTTATGTCAGGAGACCAGAAGGAAGCCGATTTTCGGGTTCCAAATTATCCCTTACATGATTGTTCCCTTGTTATGCTATACAACTGAGAATCATTGCCGTGCCAGTTTCAACTTTGCCTCATGGTGGGTGGGATGTGACTGGGAGAGATTTGGCATTTTTCGCGCATACCCTTTCGAAGTTGTTTCAAGAGAAGCCACAGCAGGAAAGCAGCCATTTGTTTGGGCCCTTTGTTTGAGACCAACTCATGTTGTGTTTCTTCCAGCCACCAATCATTTTGTCGGACTCGTACGCTTGAAGCGAAGGCAATGACCAAGCCAAATGGCCAAACGCAGTACCAAAGTTCGAAATCCAAGCTGGAACCCCAATGAAATTCGGCAAAAAAAGCATGCACGGTCCAAAAGGAGTTTTCTTCGGGGATCTGCTTGCGCGAGGTTTGTCTTGGACATGCTGACCTCCCAGCTCCGGGAGACCTGGGCGCTGCGCCGGGCGTTGGCCAACAAGACGGAGGAGGGAGGCAGGGATCGGTTGTGAGGGTACCCGTTTTCGGGAACCAACGAAGGAAATGCGATTCCCGTTTTCTTGGGTCCAATTCTTGAGGCCCCTCCCTTTCTTCCTTCTTTTGGAGGGTAGCCTTTCGAGTTTGTTTTGATGTGTTGGCTGGGAAAGCCGAAAGGGGATGCCAGTTCAGACCTCAACTCTTAGAGTTTGAGTTAGAGTAGGGGCGGTTAAAGGACACAGACAACACTTTGGTGTGGATTGGTATTGTTTCCTGCTCTTAAACGTGGATCGACAGGAGCATCCAAAACAGTTTGAGAGGAACTTCGATGTTCTTTCAGTCAGCATCAAATGTGACCCCCATAAATGCACCAGTGTTTACAGAGGCCACCTGATTTTCCTGCTTGTTTTTTCATGATTCTCCCGTGCGTTCAAATTGTGCAGGATGTGTCAAAACAAGGATTTGAATCCATATGTGGTCAAAGCCAGCGGTAGTCTATGGTCCATTTGGGAGGGACACGGGGGACTCACAGATTTCTCCATGTCCTTTCAGGAAACCAGTCATGCTGACCGCTCATGTCGACTTGCAGCAACGGTTCCGCCCTCGACTCCTATTTGCAAACCAGCTTCATCTCTGAGGACGATCCCCATGGCATGTCCAGTATTTTCTTTTTAGATACCTAGAGCTAGTGCAGAGTTGCGGTTGACACGCCATACGGATAAACAAAGCGGCACTTAGCATCCATCATCGCAACACCTGCCTTTTATCGCGACCCGTTCCGACTTTCCGACTTTTCTGCGAAGCAGAGCGGCGCAGGTCAGCGGGGCCAGTTCCAGCTGCGCATCTTTGAAGCAGAGGCTCGCATGGCCCGGCAGGAGGCGCGCTCCCTCTCTCTCCCTCTCTCCCTCTCTCCCTCTCTCCCTCTCTCTCTCTCTCTATTTCTCTCTCTCTCTCTCTCTCTATCTCTCTCTCTCTCTCTTTCTCTCTGTGGGCGTGGGGACCTGCCCAGAATCAATGGGGCTCTGGGTGTCGACGGTATCAACAATTCTGCGATGGGGTGATCGAAAGGAGGATGGAATCGTAGTTTTCTTTGCCCTGGATTCTCAGGGTGAGTGGGTGGGCTGAATTTGTTGCGAGGGAAGGGTTCGGGCTCTTCCTGATGGAAAGTTGGCAGGTCGGATTTATGGGGAAGGAAGATACACGGCAGTCTGAGCACACACACACACACACACACACCCCTGCATTGGATGCGATAAGAGAGCTCTTGATGCTTTACTCGTACACCTGGCATAGAGCAACTTGCGCGCAAGCATACCTGACGCTTCCAAACTCCATCTTCCCGACACATGATAGGAGAACATGGAAGCGGAGCTTTGCGCCGAACTGGTGCAGGAGGCGAAGGCTTTGGCAGCGCAGGCGGGAATTGCAACTCGACTTCGTGCTTTGTGTCTCGGTTGGGAAACGAAAATCGGTGTGCGCAAGCTAGCTGGACTCCTTTGAATGATCTTTTGTTGCAGCATTTCCGCTTTGGGCACACACTGCGCCAGGTGGCTGAAAGAAATGCAGATGGGCAGTATTCCTGTGTAGTCCTGCTCAAACCTCAAACGAGTGTCCTCAAAAAGCGTCCCTGCATGGCTGCTTTCCGCTCGCGAGGCTGACTCCTGGCGGAGGGAGCCCCGGGAAGCAAGGCACCAGCACGGAAGTGAAGTCCAGAATGCGAGTTTTGCAAGCCAGAAGTGAGGCGGGTGCTTTTGGTCTTTTTGGTCTTTGGTCTTTGGGAACCTAAGGGAATGCATCCATTTTGGGGTTCCCCTATTGAGACAGCCCAATCTGTTGGTATGTTATAGGAGTTCTTGATATCCCACTTGCAACACTTGCCTTTTTTTAAAGGGGTGGGAGTTCGGGGCGAATGACTTTTGAGCACTTGGCCGGTTGGAAGTTTGGCTTTTGTTCGACGGAGGTGCAAACACAGGGTACCCTTTCCGGTCGTGGACGCGAGCCATGCGTTTAGGCTTATTTGCGGCGAAGAGTTTGAATCACACGCCCCGAGCGAGTCTTACGATGGCCCAGCTGGGGAACACGGCGCCCATGTACATTTGTGCGCGAGGTGAGTATCTCTTTGCCTCGGCCTTAGAATCCTACAACAATGGGTCCTTGTCCTGGCTTTCGGTTGCAAAAGGCGGACCAGGTCCTTGAGTGTCGGTTTTTTTTTTCCTCAAGGACTTATGAGCAAGAGTGGCAAGTGTTGACCTGGGATGATCATAGCAACTCCAAACCATCCTCCAACACTCAAGGAAAACACTCAACCAAGATGTGATTTCAAGCATCAATCACTCTGACCCAAAGGATTTGGTTTGTATCAACACCAGTAGAGTACTGGACCTGCTTACAAAGCGTCCCGGTTGACGCCCGACGGATCCCGGAGGTACGCCCACTGGGAGGAGGCGGCCTTGCGGCTGCCGGTGGCGCTAAAGACGGAGGCGGCGCTGAGGAACCGCGCCGCGGTGTTGAACGAGGAGGAGATGCAGCTCCAGGCTCAGGCGGGGAAATTTATGAAAATGTCCGTTTCCGCTTTTGGCCTCCCATCCTTTGAGACACTCCCATACTGTTTCCTTGTGTCTTTATTCTACAACTAAAGGGTCCAAAACTCATTTTGAGAAACTCCCGTCGCATTCATGGCATATGCGGCCTATGCGTGCATGCGTGGGATGTGCGCCCGGGAAGGGTGTGTGTGTGTGTGTATATATATATATATAATATATATATATATATATGTGCAGGTTTTCTAGCACAAGGATTTGGTACTCCTCGCCCAAATTGGGTGGGTGAAGGTTAGTAGGGCAAAGTCCCAACCAGCAGGTTTGGCAAGACTCGCACTTTCTTTTCTTGCATACCCTCGAGTACTCTTTTGATGGCTTCAAAGGGAAACCAAAGGGAAGCCAAAGGGAAACCAAAGGGAAGCCAAGCGGCACCGCCATTTCGAGAACCGCCAACTCTGGGGTTCACTTTAGAGACGAATCCATTCCTTGAGACTGGTCGCCTTCCTTTTGGTTTCCTTTCAAGCATCCACACTTCTGCGGGTCCCCAGGATAAACGCTCTTTTGGGTTCGGGGAAGCAATGCGAGAGTGTTGCCATGGGCGGCGCGTGGGAAGGTGTTGGGAAGTTGGCAACGTGAACTGTGAACAGGGAGGAGTGAGTTCTCATCTTGTCAAGGAATTCCTCTTCCCCCAGGGTCGAAGAGGGGGTGAACCACGCGCAAAAAGCACGAGCTGGGATTCTTTTTTGTTCACTGCTTACAACGGATCGGCAGCCCCTGGCAAGCATCGACCATTGGACGTCTTCATCAGGGAATCCTTCATAGAGCAAGGTGTGACTAGCAACGGATTCAAAGGACATGGCATCATGCCAAAGCTATCAAACACATGTGCTCCTTGGACACCTGCGACTTTTACAAATGGCGAAGCAATGTCAACTCCTGGCGGGCCGGTCGGATGAATCAACCTCATAGAGTTGACCGGGGTTGTCCCGAAAGTGAAGGATCCCCAAAGAGCTCCCCTTACGAAACAATGAGATGACTGCCTGGACAAAGGACATGGTTTGCAACACTACCTATGAAGAAGTCTTCCGGATCTCAAAAAAGGAAGCAAACTCAACGGAATGTCTTTTCTTGGGTTGTTTTCGTTTTATCAAACAACCGTTGTTTTGACGTTGTCCAAACAAAGAAACACACACACACACACACCCAATGACTATTACTACTGTTATTCAAACAATGCAACGTGACACACGACTAATCAGTTTTGTGGAGAAATCGAAGCAAACTACCAACCAGCTTACCTTGATATTGAACACTATTTTGTTTAAACAAATCACCCGCCTTTGTCTTTTGCACGACTGGGCCAACACTTCAGCCACCGTGGGCCTATCTAGCACCCTCGCAGCTTGTGGGATGCCTTGACCAATCAACGTGACAAAGCACGCGGGTGTGTCTTTTTTGAGGGTACAGCTTTCGGCACCATTTTCGGACAATCGAAATCCATTTTGGGGGTCTCCCCAAAAATTGACGACCCGCGCCTACGAGGTGGGGGAGTGGCAGCGGCACTCGGCTGCTGAGCTGCTGGCCTGCCGCTTCGAGGTGAGTGACCTGCAGCGCCAGAATGGGGAGCTGAGAGGCGGAGCGCGGGGGTATGGGGGGGGGGGTTGGGTTGGGTTGGGTTGGGTTGGATTGGGTTGGGTTGGGTTGGGTTGGGTTGGGTTGGGTTGGGTTTTCCTGTTCTTTCTTTAAAGGTATTGTTTGGGGTGGTGGGTGAACATGTCGGGGTTTTTGGGGATTGTTTGCTTTTGTAAACCCGTTGGGGTTGAATGGGTTTAGGGTGGGTGGGTTTGCGGGATTGTTCGTTTTTGGGTGAATATGCAAAAAGGGGTCCAAGTACTCAATGTACTTTGACACTTTTTACTTCTTGAAGTGCATCACATCCCCAGGTACTTGGACCCTGAGGGATCTAATCAGCTTGGGAGCGGCCTGACATCAGCACCTGCTCCGCCATCTAAACCTTCCGGTGTAGGGAATTCTTGGGGCCAGTTTGGGCAAACGGTAAGTTTCATGTTTGCCACCTTCACCATCTCTGTCTCAAAATTGGGGCTCCTCAAGCAAGTTACCCGTGCTTGGACCCAAGGGCCACAGACCAGAGACCCAACAGGACTTCAGTGCGGTATGATGAGGTCTTTACGGCAACCTGGTTGT